CTGGGCTATCAGGAGGCGCCAAAGGGATGAGCTGGACAGGGCTGGATGCAGAAACCTCCACAGCCCAGCAGCTCCTCTGGGGTTTCCACCACTCTTGGGTAATATCTGCTGGGTCTCCTTGGCCCCTCTAGACCCCTGCACTGGACGATAAGCAGACCCCTGTCCTAGTGCCCAGGCCTCCCCGACTCTGAACCAACAAGGACACTGCTGCTCCCTCCAGGGCACCTTCGTCCTCCAGCCCCGTTTCTCTGGCGCCCACGCCCCTCCCTTGGATCGAGGCCATACCAGCCTGTCTCCTCTCCGTGCTCCTTCCTGTTCCACCACTGTCCCCCACGTCTGGAGCTGACTGCTTGCCTCAGCTCAGTCCTCACCAGCACACCCGGGATGCAGAGGGAATCTTTACTTGGGGAAAAGTCATGCCACGGTCATCCCCATTATATTTAGGATCAGCCAGGAAGGCTGTCTGGGACCAGAATGACCATGAACTTGGGGAAACACAGGGCTGACTGGGGAGAGCGGATGGTCACACTGTCCCCCCCACAGCAATGTAGTTAAAACTGGTTCTTTGAGGGAGGAGCCAGGGAGTTCAACCTCTACTTTTGAGGACACACTGGGGGTGGGGGCAGGCTGACACCCAAGCCTGCCCCCCACAGGAGCCCAAGGGAGGTGTCATGATCCAGCCACACCCATTCTTGGGGGTGGGGGATGAGCAAGGCCTCAACAGGCCCTTCTTCCCCTTGTTCTAATGTCTGGCCAGGCAGGGGCTCTGCCCTCTGCCACAAGCTGAACTTAGATGGGCGTCTCATCCCAGCTGTGCTCGCATGTCTTCAGGTGGGAGCTGTGGCTCTGTCGCCAAAGGGTCACCCTCCACACCCCTCCTCGGTATATGCTCAGGCCTGGGCCTCAAGCTGACCTCTTTTCAAGGAATCTGCCCTCCTAGGGCAAGCTCACACCCAGCCCTGTCTTACGACCCCTCCCAAGGGCGTTGTTATAGCCCAGACCCCAGTTCCTCCTGAGTCCTGCCCAAAGACAGGCACCCACAGGCAGAGGGCCGCGAGCCAGGCAGGATGCTGCTGGAGGAGCTACCCGCCCGGCGTGGTGCCCTAACTAAGCTGAGGCAACATAGGCACCAGATTTAGGAGTCCCGGCGTCTGCCTGCAAGGTGGCCAGGCAAGAAGCCTGCCAGGGAATCCCCGAGGCTGCCAAGAAGAATCCAAGTCCAACAGACTCAGCAGAAGAATGCCTTCCTTCCCCAGAGGAAACCCAGCCCAGGACACCCTGTCATCATGCCTCCCTGCTCCGGCGCCCTCCTATCAGAGGTCAGCTCTGATCCACTGTGGGCAGTGTCTCCTTGGGCTGTGGGTACCCTTGCCGTGGACAGAGTCAGGGTGAAGATCTCAAGACCAAGCTCCAGGCTGCCTGGGTGGGCGCTGGTCCCTCTTGAGCAGTCTGGTGGGGCAGGCAGCCCAGGCTGGGCACTCCTGAGCCAGGCCAGGAGAAGAGGGACACCAGGTTGGCTCAGGAAGGGACCGGACCACAGGACGAGGCTTGGGAAAGAGAAGTGACCATGGGTTTTTTTGAGAATGAGGGTGAGCAGGTTTGGAACCGGGGGTGTAGAGTGGGGAAATGCGAACTGCCACTCCCAGACAGGCAGTGAGACCGGCAATGGGCTCCTCCAGGCTTGCACCAGAGGCCAGGCCCAGAAATGAGCAGACAAGGGGACGGCAGTGCAGTCTGGTGTGGCTCGTGTCTCTGCCCCCAGCAGAGGGTGAGACTGAGCAGCTGGACAAGGACAAGGGCGTGGTGGTCCAGCCAGGGATGGGCAGGAACCCACTAGGGATCCAACCAGTGTGGTGGCCAGAGACCCTCCAGCCTGGTGAGCATCTAATGGGAGGGGGTCGTGGGTCCGAGGACAGAGGCCAGGACAGGCCTGGACACTGAAGACAGGCCATCCTGGGCAGCTCCTGGGAAGGCCAGACAGTAAATGACCAAGAGGAAAAGCGCACTCTTCAGTGGGCTCAGGATGACCAGGCCAGTCCTTGAGAAGAGAAAGGGGGAGATGGGGGTGAGAGAACCTCTCTTGGAGCACTCTACAGGGATAGTTGTGGGGTTTTGTCTGGGGCCTTGCTGCTTCCCACCCCCGGTATGCAGTGGACACTCACTAAGGGTGAGTGGATGAGAAGACAGGTGATGCCAGCAGTGACTAGCAAGAGCGAGCCAGATAGTGAGGAGTGGGCAGTGAGGATGGCCCTGGGGCGGGGGAGGAAATAGAGGGTGGGTCCCTGGAGATCATCCCACCTAGGGAGTATAGGCACCCAATGAGCCTAGATGATAATCTTACAGGAGGAAGTCCAGGACCAGGGTGATAGAGAGGAGGCACTGACAACAGAAAAGCATGACCTGAATCAGCAGGTCTCGCCTCCTGACCTGCCTTCAGCCTCCTCTCCCACACTCCCTGCCTGTAAAATGCGGGGTAGGACTACACTAGGTGGCCTGCAGGGCGCCCTCCTATCTCGGACACATCCCACTTTGTACAGCAGCCCCATCAAATCCTTCAACATCGCTGGGGACCAGGGAAAAGGCGAAAGCAAGATGAGAACTGTCTTTCGGAAGAAAGTGGCTTGTGGGAAAGATGCAACCAGGGAAGGGACGGGAGCCAAGCATCTGACGCCAGTCTCGGCCAGCGTGTGCTGGGAGTTGGCCTCCACCCTGAACCCTGCCAGCAATCTTGACTGATCTGGCTCTTCACCTGACCAGAAGCTGCATGTGCTCTTCCCAGGGCCTGCCACCATGGGCTGGCACAGGGAGGCACTCGGTCAAGGTACAGCAATTAACCAGCAAATGGAGCTGGCCTGTTCCATACAGCATCTTGGCATGCTTTCCTCCCAGTTTTTTGTGGGTTTTTTTCCCCCCAAAGACTAAGTCCCAGAAGGACAGCAGAGCAGAGCCAGGTTCAGGGGCTGAGGGTTCGGTGGGGGTTCAGTCTGGGACACAGGAATTCAGAGGACAGTGTAGGACTCAACAAGGGAACAGGAAGGGCTCGGGTGGAGCTGCAGGTTCAAGAATGGGAGGGAAGCAGGATGACTAGAGAGGAAGATCATCTCCCCAGACTTCCCAGGACACCTTCTTGCTGCCCAGCAATTTGGGGGCAGGCCCAAGAGGAAGGCCAGACTCAGCCAGGGGCATCTGATGACAAACCACACCCCAGCTGGAGTCTGCTGACAGCTTATGTCAACAACCCCTTGCCACAGAGCACTTGGAGGGCGGAGGATGCACAAGCAGTGAGAGAGGCCAGATGCTGGCTATAGTAGCCATACATAGGTGTCTGCTCACTTCTGAGTGAGACCTGCAGTGTCCTGGAAGCTACAGGTGTGCTGGGAAACCTGGCCGTTCACGAGTTACGTCATGCTACTACTCAAGGCTGACTGGCAAGGCAGGCTCTGGCAAAGCTGGGAGGTGCCCTCTGAGTAAACCATAGGCCCAAGGTTTCCCCAACTGTTCCCGCACCCCAGATCTCTTCTGGGTCCGCGTACATGTCTGTCTGCTCCATTACAGACTGACAGCATCCCCAAATGTCTTTTTCCGATATGGCACAAAGTAGGTGCCCACAGAGTGCTAAGGGATTACTGCATCACTTAGCTCCTTTAACATAAATGTCTACTTTAAAAAGGAGAAAAAAACCTATTCCTCAAATATGCCACTTCTGCATCACTTCTAGGAAGGGGAAAGTCAGATTCCCTGGCAGATGTCACCAGTCCAAGCCTTCCATGAACAAACCAAGGGGAATTTCACAACGTTGGAAGCAAACAGAGCTGAAAGCACAGCAAACCAAACGAGCTCCAGCTAGGTGCTCCCAGCCAGCAGCTGGCATTGCAGGGAAGGTGATGGAAAGCTCCCTGGTGCCCTCTGATCCCTCCAGGGCTTTCACGTCTGGACAGTCAGAAACTCCCCACCTTCACTCGGGAGCTGAGCCCGCTCAGTCGGAAGCGGCAAGGACTGCATGACACATATCGCCACCCATCAAGCACCCTGAGGAAACCCCAATAGTTCTGCCTTTTCCTCTGATGGGCAGGTCTGAGTGAGAGTGCCACTCAACAGATGAAAAACGCCAGTCTTAGTAACCCAGGGGGGCCCACAAACACAGCTGCGTTGGAAACACCTAGTTTGACCCTCTGCTTTCAAAACAGATGGCCTCTGGAGGTGCCCACTTGCCCTATCTCCTCCACCAGAAAGGAGACCCGAGAGGGATAAACTCTTAAAGACTAGCAAGTCGAGGACTTCTTGCTCTTTTCATGTCCATTCCTGTGGCCCGGCAGGAATTCCCGGGGCGCAGGAGGAAAGTCCCGAGGCTCTGTCCCCCACAGGGATCGCTCCCTCTTGGACTCTGCTCAGTCACCTCCTGCCTCCCGGCCCCAGACGCCCCACGGTAGGCCTCACAGTCGGGACCCTGCCCCGAGTGGCCCGCCAGGCCTCTCTTTGGGAAGCCGGCGCCGCCAGGCCCGCAGCCGGACATCAGGAAGGTAAAGTCTCCTTCCGGCCTTCGGGTGCCCGGGCCGCTCAGGGCCGCCGAGTCCGGCTGCGCCCAGTGCCCGCCCCCGGCCCCCCTATCGCGCGACCCAGCTGGCGCGACGCACCTGGCGCAGCTCCTCCCGGCACACGGCGCAGTATCGCTGTTCGCATAGCACTCGCATCTTGGTGGAGCAGCGGTAGCACACTGGGTGGTCGCAGCGGCCCAGCGCCGTGGCCTCCAGGTCACCACAGCACAGCACGCAGCTCCCGCCGCCCCGCTCGGGCGCCGCCGCCGCCGCCGCCTCCAGGACAGCGCGCCGACTATCGGCGCTCGCCGCCGCCGCCGCCATGGTCCGGGCTCCGGCCCCCTCCTGGCCGGCGCGACACGACCTAGCTCCCGGCGGTCCCGCCCCTTCCGGGTTATGTCACCGCCCCGCCCAGCAACGGCCCGGCCCGCAGAAGGCGTCGGCTGGCCACCGGGCGCTCTAGCCTTAGCGGACGTCGCCATGGTCTCGGGCTCCTCTCTCCCCAGACCTTCGTCTTGGGCCGCCCTCACCTCTTGGGACTCCATCTACTAGGGTTGTCTGTGTCAAATTTGGTGATGGAGACCTCAACCTAGACAGGAATTGGGAGGGCCTGTAGGAGGAGCTCTCACACCTTGTATCAGTCAGGAAAGTCCTACAGGAAGAACTCTAGAATTACAACAGAACTCTATGGTCGTGCCAGCCCCTCCCCTTGACTTCCTATGCCTCTCTATAAAACATTTCCTCCATCTTTGTCCTGGCGGAACTTGCACGTGGCTCAGCATGTTTGCAGGGTACTGGAATGCAACTCTTCCCTCCACTCCCCAGTAAATACTTTTTGGTAACAAAATGCCTAGTCGACTTTTGTTTATGGACAAAATTTGGGGACGTCCAGAATCCAGAAGAGAAACCCCGATAGCTCCGGGCTTGGGGGTGTTGGGCGGGCAAACAGGTGCTGGCGCCCAAGGAGCTGTTTTGAGCTCACTGTCTCTTCCTCAATTCAGGAGCTGGAAAGGGTAAGTCTTCTCTTGGAAATGAGCTGCCTCTTGTTATTCATAAGCTCTCCAGGCTTTATTCAGGAACTGTTTGGAGTTTTGTTAAAAGACCTCGTTTGTGAGCTAGTTGGGCACTCTGACCAGACTCTAGGGGGATCAGGCGGCTTCTTGGGGCTGCAGTAGTTTTCGGGCTGCGTTGAAGCTGTGTTTCTTTCTCCCTTTGGCTGCCTTTGGCTTGGCTCTTCCTAGAACAGGCTGTCTTCACTACAGAACTGACTTTGAACGTGCAGGTTGCTTGAGCTGTTTTAGACTGTTTGGGGCCCTTGCTATAGAGAAAAGCCTCTGAGACTGGGATCTTAGTTATCTAAATGTTTTCAGAACGCCCCTCCTAAAGTAAAGGCCGTCCTGCCGAAATTATGTTTAAACGTTGCAGTCATTCGTCGTGTGCATATTAAATGGACTTACCTAACCAGAAGTAATTCACAATATCAATGGCCATTATGGGGAACCTTGGAGATTCCCAAAGTTATTTTTCTTCAAACCGAATTGGACAATCCTAGCACTAAAATTGGGAAAGATGAATGGAATGCCTATTTGGAGTGGTATACCAAGAATCTGAAGTTGCCTCATTGCACAATAAAGTTTTAGAATTAACTGAAACTACTGAAGTTTTAAAGAGAGAGTTGGCTTCACGAGGCTTGTGTTCCTCCCCTCCATCGTTGTCTAGCCTTTTCCCCTCAACTCCTTTGTCTCAGGCTCCAACTCCACCCTGCTCCTCCCAGCTCTCCTTTGCCTCCGGCTCTCCTTCCCCTATGCGGCTTCCTTTGATGCTATCTGGCCTTCCACTACTAGCTTCCTTGCCGGCAGCTCCACCTCTGGTGTCTTTCTCAGAATTTAAAGTTCAGCCCTCTGAGGATCCTAGCAGACCTCAAGCTTCATATGTTCACTAGACTAAAGCTGAATTTTGAGCCAAAGTTAGAGAATTTCCTAAGGTAACTGAGGATCCTCAAAAATTTGCTGAAGATTTTGACGTAATTATTGAAACCTACCAACCTGGCTAGTCAGTGAAGACCAGGCTTGGCATTGGATGAGACTGGCTGGATGGGAGTGTCCCAAAAGGGATTTATTTAGAAAAACAAACCTGATTTTTGGCAAAATGCTAGAAAACTCACTGGAGACCTCCACGGAGCAATTCCAGGAGATTTTTCAAAGCTTGTTAATTGGAACAAAATTCAGGCCTGCTCACAAAAGCGTAATGAATCTGATCATGACTATTATTATCGATTTCAGATTGTTTTTAAACAAAATTCTGGCCTGCCTTCAGATGTTGATTCCTCTTGGGTAGCTTTTAACTCTGTTAACAGCTGTGTCACGTCCAGCGTGGCAAGGGCAAATGGGACACGAGAGGGGCGGCGCAGATTGAATAAGAACAAGAGACAAAAGTAAGATTTAAGAGCCAGACCAAGGGACTCAGCCTTCAGAGATAGACTGAGCCACCGAATCGGGTCAACGCATGGTTTTTATTGATTCTTTTCAAGGAAGTAAACTGCTGTGCTGTCAGTCATTAACCGTGTATACTGGTGCGCCTTAAGGCCTTTTCCAGTGACCTTTTCCCAAAGTACTCCAACAAATGCTATGCCTTCATACTCCACCACATTGCCCCAAGACATAATTACATGTCCTCCCAGGGGAGACAGCTGATATCATTCCATCAGGTCCCAGTCAGGCTGAGACGCCCCCCGAGAGAGCTTTACAGATATCATTCCATCCGGCCTCAGTTTTCCGAGGCACTCTCTCGACTAATGGGTCAGAGGCTAATGCAGGGGGGGTGGTCTAAGAATCGGCTGTAAGGCAACACAGCTGGGCTGGACAGAGTTTTCCCTTTTAGTTAAAAGGACCAGGGTGAAACAGGAGACCCAAGTCCACTCTAGATTTGGTCAATTTGGCAAATAAGCTTGTTTGCATCCTAGATGAGTCACCTAGAAGTAAGACTGCTAAGAATTTTGATCTTCACTTGGGCCAGTGAAGCAACATCCTCCGCAACTAGAATGAACAACAAAAGGACAGCAACTTGTCTGTTCCCCTTCCCCCAATTCCCCAGCGCTGTTCCTATCCCCCAATTCCCCAACAAAAATCTTTTTTAAAAAAGGAATTTTGATTTTCACCTCCAGCAAATGAAGGCTCCTACGCAACAGCAAAAGCTGTCTAGCTTATGCTCTTACTGCAGAAAGCCAGGATATTGCAAAAGAGATTGTCACAAATTTCAGCACTCCAGGCACCTTCAGCTTTCCCAGAATCCTAATCCCCAATGGCGATGCCTGAATCCAGACAGGCTTTATGGCATCCTAGGTTTCCCAAAGCCCCAAACTAAGCATCAGTTGCAAGGTTTCCTTGGGCAAGTAGGCTATTATCGAAGTTGGATCCCAAATTTCTCTCATGACAAAACCGTATGTTTTACTAAAGAATGACAATCCTGGAGCAGCTGGGTGGCTCAGTTAATTAGAGCATGTGCTCTGAGCAACAGGGTTGCCAGTTCAATTCACACATGGGCCAGTGAGCTGCGCCCTCTGCAACTAGATAGATGGAAGACGACTTGAGCTGAGCTGCCGGTGTGTGACTAGATGGCTCAGTTGGTTAGGGCGCGTGCTCTTAACAAGGTTGCCCGTTAGACTCCCGCATAGGATGATGGGCTGCGCCCCCGCAACTAGATGGAAAGTGGTGAGTAGACTTGGAGCTGAGCTGCGCCCTCCACAACTAAGATTGAAAGGACAACAACTTGCCTTGGAGCTGATGGGTCCTGGAAAAAACATATTTTCCCCCAATAAAGTTAAAAAAAAAAAAAAGACAATTCTGACCCAATTTTATGGGAAGAATGGGATGACAACCTTTAAAGCCTTAAAGGAGAGTTTAAACCCACCAGCTCTTGGGCATCCTAATTATCAGATACCCTTTTTCATTTTTGAAAAGGAAGGGAACGCCCTTGGGGTACTCACCCCAAAACATGGGTATTACCATAGACCCCTACGGTATTATGGTCAGCGCCTGGGAACCCCCTTTGCCTTAGAGCCATTACTGCTACTGCCCCTTTGGTTAAAGCCAAAGAGGAAATTGTGAGACCCCCTTTAACCATCTTTGTACCCATGCAGTAGAAGCGCTCCTGAATTCTTATTACACCCAGCATCTCATTTAGTGACGTCACATAATAACTAATCCAGCTACTGTTCCCCCTCCAATACTGATGAAGCCCCTCATGACTCCCTGGTACTGACGTCACCTCCTGGCCCCTCTCAAGGATCTGCTGGAGATTCCTTTGGGTAATTCTGATTTGTCATGGTTTAAAGAATGAAAATTGTCAGTACCGTGCTGGATATGATGCTGTTGTCATCCCTTTTGAAGTCAACAAAGCAGCATTTTTACCTTTGGCTACTGTAGCACAGCAAGCTGAATTATATGCCCCCACTTGGGCTTGTATTTTAGCCAAGGGCAAAACTGTCAACATTTGTACTGATGGTGGATATGCCTTCAGAGTAGCTCATGGTTTGGGAGTATTACAGAAGCAACATGGCTTCCTGACTTCCAGTCTAAATAAAAGTGGCCCTATGTTCAGGAATTATTGGATGCTATATTTTTACCTGCTGCTTTAACTATTAAGATCCCCAGGACATTCTAAACTTGACTCTAAAGCTAAAGGAAATCACTGACATTTCCACAAGGAATGCTGCCTTTAAAGGAACCAGGAGCAGTCCAACCTCTGTCACGGTTCAAAGCGATAGTTCCCCAGCTCACAACTTAGGAAAACTGGCCAGAGAAACCCAACAGTTGTTGGTTTGATAAAAAGAGAAAGCTCTGGTTTGGACCCAGTTTTACCAGAGATTCTCAAGTTTCCACCCCTGACTACATGTACTGTACAGCCACTGACAAAGTGATAACATTTATGAATCAATATTGGTGAGGAAATCAGGCCATGAAAAGTACCTACCTTACTTTTCCCATCTGTCCAATGTATAACCCAGGTAAGCCTGTTCTCATTGACATTTTAAATTGCCTAAAGGGCCATTGCTAAATGAGAACCTGTGTGATTGCACCCACGCAGGTGGGGACAGATTCTCTGCGATAGCCCATGTGGAGTGTGGACTGGGGCTGATGGCAACACCCCATGAACACCTCCCAGTGACGCCTACTGGGACTTCAGACATTTGAGGGCATTCACTACCTTGCTATCAGACATAAATTGAAGTTACTCTTATGACTGAAGGACATTAAATGATCTTGAAACCTGAAATACCCAGTGTCTTGTGTGATGTCAGAGAAATGCTTAATGGGTATTGCAGTGCCCGGAAGAGTTCGATAATGAAATGGAAATGGTTTATATAGGGCCATGCTGCCTGGGGAACACGCAAGGAGATATGAGCAGGGAGCCTCTTTTCCCCTAGGACTGACCTCGGAACGGTGTGAGGCGCCACTGGATTTTATTGTCACTCAGGCAGTGCCCTATAAATAGCTGCTTGGTTTGTGGATGGCAGTTCCACAGAGAATGGACAACATCCTGTTTGAAAGGCCACCCCTCTGATCCAAGAACATAAAAACAACAGCTCAGTGGGCTGAATTGAATGCTATTTTCCCAGCAGTGATGGAAGGATTGAACAGTGGTAAAAGCCCCCTTTGTTTGGGTTTTTACCAACTCATGGGCAGTGGCCAATAGCCTGGCCATCTGATCAGGCATAAGGGTGACGAACCTGGCCTGTTAAACAGATGCCCTTATAGGGTATGGCTCTGCAAATCCCTGCGGGAATTTGAGGGGCATGTTAATGCCCACCCAAAGAACCCCCTCCCAGGTTTGGAAGGTGATTGGAACCACCAAGTGGACCTTTTGGTGCACTCACCTGGACCCATGACGAGAGTGGACATGGTCTGCAGCAAGGCAGAGATGGTTCGAGTCTAGACATAGTCTTTCCCTGCAAGGCACGAAATGCCAACAACTGTTCTGTCAACAGGAGAGGCTGCAAATGGCCCTGGGGAAGATTCCTTGGGGATACTATTAAAGGATTGGAACAGAAAATACTGAACCAGTTTGTACCACCAGGTTACATTTCTTCGGACCAAGGGACACACTTTGCAGCCAATAATGTCCCACAACGGGCAGAGAGGTGTCCTCAGTACAAGTTTGACAGAGAATTGAAATAGGCAATTAAAACATCGGTTGGTTGTCTAAAACAGCAGGAAATAAAGGCAGGAAGGGCTGGCTCACATGCCTTCTCGAGTGTGTGCTCACATTCAAGATGAGGGGGGCTTAGGCATCTGGGGAAGGGGTGGGGGAGGATGCTGGTGTGGCTTTTCAGTTCTTCCACATCACTGCTGCTGCTTTTTTTCCCCCTATCTGACACAATGGTCCCAGGACCAGGGCTGCAACTGTGGGTGCCAGAAGGAGGGAGGATTCTTTTTTTTTTATTATGAAATACACATTTTTTAGAATTAGTTTCAGCTGTACAACACAGTGCGCTAGTTATACTTTTTACCCCTCAAAGTGACAACCCCAATCCGCTGCCCCACTTCCCCCCAATATCATACATATCTATTACAATTCCCTTGCCTGCACTCCCACACTATACTCCACGTCCCATGA